GCTTATACAGAAAGGTAGAAAAGGGGAGGTTCCGGCGTTGGTTCTCTCGATCGACGCGGAAAAGGCCTTTGATAGAGTAGACTGGGGCTTCATGATGGATACCTTAGAAGCCCTGGGAATTGGAGCTAGAATGAGGGAATGGATTAGAAAGTTGTACAGGGAGCCTTCCGCAGTTATTATAGTGAATGGGGAAAAAACAGAGCCCATTGGGATGTCAAATGGAACAAGACAAGGATGCCCTTTGTCCCCCTTGTTGTATGTTTTGTCACTGGAACCCCTGTTGTCTATGATAAGGAAGAATAGAGATATAAAGGGAATTCACATAGGAGATATAGAGCATAAAGTAGCGGCTTTTGCGGATGATCTGCTATTTTATGTGGGAAATCCCAGGATAACACTCCCAAACTTAATGAAGTCATTAAAGGGGATCTATCAAACCTAAAAATTAATCCAACAAAAACTGAGATCCTAAATATAAATATCTCAAAAAGTGAAAAAGAGAAAATACAAAGAGAATTCCTTTTATCTGGAAAGAAAGAGATATAAAATATTTAGGAGTAAGGCTCACTACGGCGTATAAGAATTTGTATAAACTAAACTATATTTCATTATTAAATGAAGTGGAGGAATTAAAAACTTTAGAAAGAGGAATACCTTCATGGTTAGGCCGTATAAACCTGGTAAAAGTGATAATTGTGCCGAAAATCTTATATAGATTTCAAATGATCCCAATTAAATTGCCAGAAGCTTTTTTTCAGGTAATAAAAAAAATGATAATAAGATATATATAGAGAAATAAAAAAACCAAGGGTGTCCTATGAAATATTAAGTAGAGACAAAGGGAGGGGTGGTTTGGGAGCTCCAGATATTAAGAGATACTACAAAGCAGTAATACTAGGAAGAATTTTTGACTGGACGTTTAATGAGGAGGGGAAGAGTTGGGTAAAAATTGAGAATACACTGTGTGGAACTAATTTGAATAGAATTATATGGTTACCAGCACAATATAGAGGATTGAAAGAGGATTTAAGTCTATACACTGAAAATGTTTTTAAGGAATGGGAAAAAATACACAAATATATGAAGTGGGAATTTAACTCTATTTTAATGCCACTAAGAAATACAGAATTTTTTCCCCCAGGTAGAGAGGAGATAACAGGTAGATGGTTTAAAAAGGAAGATGTCCAACTGAGAGATATAATGGAGGAGGGAAAATTGAAGTCTTTTGAAGATCTGGTAAAGGAAAAGGGAAAGATTTTCACTAAGTTAGATGAGTGGCACTATCACCAATTAAAATGTTTTTGGGGAAACCTTCCAAAACCTATGAGAATGAAAAAGGATTGGAATTTGTTTGAAAGGTTGTTGGACACACGGGGGGATGGTAAAACACGGAATAGCTAAAATATATAGAATTCTCACAGAATTAGACACAAACACCAAACCAATGCACATAGTGAAATGGGAAAGAGATATGGGGGTGGTATTGGATGAAGAAAAACAAAAAAAAAATAAATAGATGATTAGTTCACGAAAATGTAAGTTTGAGGGATGTAGAAATAAATTATAAATGTTTGACAAGATGGCACATTACACCGAGCGTAGAATGTAAGATAAGTGGGGAGAAATCACAGTGGTGTTGGCGAGAGTGTGGGGAAGTGGGGACAGTGTATCATATTTGGTGGGAATGTCCAAAAATTCAAATATTCTGGAAAACAATAATACAAATAATAGAGACCATTACTGAAATGGACATCGGGTTAGATCCAGGGATGTGTTTGTTGCACAGTTCAGAGCTATCGGTTAGCAAATTAGGTTTAGGGTATTATATGAACGCTGCAAAAAGTCTGATCCCTAAGTATTGGAAGAAAATAGAAATACCGAAGGGAGGATTGGATAGAAAGAGTAAACTGTATCAGTAAGATGGAGAAGCTATATTATATACAGGAAGATAAGTTGGAGGTATATTCTGCAAAATGGGAAAAATGGCAAAGCTTTACAGCAAATGTGAGAAAGTGAAATGTAGAATGACATAGAATGGGTAGAGGGGTAGGATACGCTTGCTTTGGATAAAAAAAAGGAAAAAAAGAAAAAAAAAAAGTAGTGAAAAATGCAGAGTGGGGGGGGGGGGGGGGGGGGGGGGGGGAAGGGGGTAATGTTTTAAGAGGGGAAAAATAAAGTAATAAGAAATAAGTATATATTTATTGTGAAAGAGATGAAAGTGTTTTGTTATTACTATGAAAAATCAATAAATATTTAAATTAAAAAAAAAAAAACAAAAAAAAACAAAAAAAAAAAACAATGCATAAAAGAGAGGTACAGATAAGGAAGATGACGGGATACTTAGAATACTCATGCAACTATTAGACACTTTTAGAAGACCCACTTTCTCCTGTCATAACTTAACCAAAAGAACCTTCCCTAATATACACATATTCCCCATTCAGTAAAATGACAAGCACTCTGGTCACTTTTAGTAGCCCCTTTGATCTTCTGGGTGACAGGTAATGCCTTTTGGCCTGTGACAGCTGCAGTCATAAATTCTAATCAAAGTTATCCAGATATTTCCTAAACTGCATTCTTTTACCATTAATTAGATAAACAAGTTACTCTTTGAATGCTATTTACCGTACTTAATACTCCTTTTCATGTCATTAGGTAATTAGATGCTGGCCAAGTCCCTTCAAGTCTGGCTGAGCAATCTGCATTTTATCACCCTTGCAAGTTTGCAAATGACCTCCTTTGAAATGTAACAAGTTGGCCCCCAAGTGCCAAGGTGATCTTGCATAAAATTAACATAGCAAAGAGTCCTTGGCTGTCCTTTTCTTATGTAAAACACAACCAGCTCAGTCAGATGCTGGCCTGGTCAATGATGTGATTATAAACCATATGAAATTCCAATATCCTACATGCCACCACTTGAATCTTAAGGTTGATGCCAGCTCTAGGCTTTTCTATATTTCCCTGGATTTTTCTTAATTATTTTTCCCACAACAATATAAACCAAACAGTAAACATACTAATATAAACTGAATAATCACAAAAATCATGGAAAGAGTTCTCAATAGAGGGTGTGTAAAAGTGTTTTTGGATATGCTCCACCAGGACTCCTGAAATTCTTTTGAAATTTTGTTAGAGCTGTTGCCATTTTACCAGTTCTTGTAATTCTATAATTTTTCTATTATATCTCTTAAATAATGTATACAATTCAACTGTAAGTGGTACTATTTTCTTAAATAAAGGAGAGATCATAGATTCCCAGTTGCCTAAATCAGTTTGCTCAATGTCCCACAGAAAACAATTCAGTACTGTCCGTGATACTTTTTTTATTTACTGCTACAATCACCTCAAGGTCAATGTCCACAGATACTTGATTCATCTGAATATTTTATCAAATGCCCTCATCTCCAATTGTCAACAGTCCATCTGTGAGGTTCACACACCAACCAGTGATAGGTGTCTGGCACTGAACTTGTCTCTGCCAAGTAAACGAGGGAACCCCTAATGCACAGACCTTTGAATCATCTCCATGAATTATCCTTTTCCAAGTTGGTTCTTATTTCTGCAGATGAACCAGGCAATTCTCAGAATGTGTAGCAGCACAGCCATCAATGTACTCCAGCCTCTCAAAAGAACAGGAACTAAGCCAGGCTTGGCCATGTGTGGTACAGCAGTTGGGGTCCATGAATTCCATACTTGATTCTCCCTAACGATGAGTCTGCTTTGTGGTAGCAGGTGTTACAGTACATTAGTGCCATTTTTAACCTCCACCTCACCAAGGATGATAATCTTATACACAGGTAAGGGTGTTGTGGACCATGTAGGGATGTCGAGGTATTTCCTGCTTCTCGATGTAATCTTTATTACATAGAGTATACAGGCTCCTTATTTTAGCAAAGTTCTTACAGCTAACACCACTATCTTTGATTAGACTGAATAATAAAGTCGAGTTCATTATCCTTGGCCATTCTCCTTGTTTAATTTCTTGAAGTTCTTGGCTCAGGTGTTCACCAGCAAGTTCTCTATAATATCACATACCATAGATTTGGATACATTATTGGTTTGAAGTGTTTTATTCAGTGCACCCACCAACATTTGAATGTTCTGCAGATCTGCAGCAATGGTGTGAATGTTTTGAATGTCAATTTTTATTTCAGCTAGGGTGTTAAAATCCACTCTTCCCCCTTTAAGCAGTATCTGCTGTAATCCACCCATAAAATTTTGTTTTCTTATATTTAAACTTTCTATGTCAGCCCTATTCCAAATTGAACTACCCAAACTGAGTCCTGATATAATGTAAGTACCCATATCCCTCTTTGAAATTTTCTTAAAATTGAACCCTTGTTTGTAGGTTTGCAATATGTCTAGTTGTTTTAGCTCTGAAGAAGGGAGTACATCTCCCGAAATATGTTAGCATACCCTATCACAAGCCTACAGTTTGCTGGGACTATCACATTGTTTCCGTGTTTGTTTACCTGACTCTTGGTTTGTGAGTATATACTTTTTGTCATTTTTAATAAATTCCTTTTTATCACGGTAATGCACGAGGAGAGTGCGCCCCTTTTTTTGCTTTCTTCCAATGATGTAACATGCGTTTTTATCCTGGTGCAAGGGTATGCACCTAACATTGTGAGTGGACATTGTGGAAATGGTTTTTCCATTATTTTTAAAGTCCTCGTAATTAATTTTATAGAGGCATCAATGCAATAAAACACATTTGCTTGTCAATATAGGGTGGCTTGTTCTCCTCCACTAGCAAACAGTGTCATATAACTTGTGCAGATTTCTCATCCTTCTGTCCTTCACTTGCAAACAAATATTTCTGGTCACACAGATTCACATGTCTTCAACATCTGAATGACAATGTCCTTTAACATATTGTTTTAAGATAAAACAAAGTCTTTCTACTTTAACCACCTCCCGCCTGCCATATAGTAATATGACGGGCACAAGGTGGTTCTCTCGTTCTGGGAGGACGTCATATGCGGCTCAGGGAGCGCGCAGCGCAGCGATCGGCGGTGCGCTGTGTCCCTCGGACACAGCATATCACCGATCATGGAAAGAGCCGAAGATGTCGGCTCAGTCATGTGATCAGCTGTGTCCAATCACAGCTGATCACATGTAAACAGGGAAATGCCGGTTATCGGCATTTCTCTCCTCTCGAGCTATCACGCTGACAGCTCGTGAGGAGAGGAGAGCCGGTAATCGGCTTTCCGCGGAGGGGACATGTACACTGATCATCAGGGCACTCATGCCAGTGCCCATCAGTGGCACATCAATGCCACATATCAGTGCCCATCTGAGCTGCCTTTCAGTGTCACCCATCAGTGCCACCTATCAATGCCACCTATCAGTGCCACCTATCAGTGCCACCTATCAGTGCCAGTCAGTGCCGCCTATCAGTGCGCATCAATGTGCATCAGTGCCGCCTAACAGTGCCAGTCAGTGTCGCATATCAGTGCCACCTATCAGTGCTGCCTATCATTGCCATGTATCAGTGCTGCCTTTCAGTGCCCGTCAGTGATGCCTGTCAATGCCTATCAGTGCCACCTACCAGTGCCTCCTCATCAGTGCCTATCACTGCCACCTATCAGTGTCTATCAGTGCAACCTATCAGGGCCCATCAGTGCAGCCTCATTAGCGCACATCAGTGAAGGAGAAAAATCACTTATTTACAAAATTTTATAACAAAAACTAAGAAAAAACATTTTTTTTTCAAAATTTTCAGTGGTTTTTGGTTTGTTTAAGAAAAAAGAAAAAACCCAAAAGGTGATTAAATACAACCAAAAGAAAGCTCTGTCACAAAAAAATGATAAAAATTTCATATGGGTACAGTGTTGTATGACCGCACAATTTTCATTCAAAGTGTGAGAGCGCTGAAAGCTGGAAATTGGCCTGGGCAGGAAGGGGGTATAAGTGCCCTGTAGGCTAGTGGTTAGAAACAAAAACCAGACCGAAAGCTGCTTTCACTCTTTTACTCTCTATTCCAGGTGTCCTCAAATTTTTTTAAACGGGGCTAGTTCACTATCCCTCAGACTGTTGGGGATGGGTCTATAGTTTAAAAAAAAAAAAAAAATGAACAAATTCCTATGCACTCCCACATATCTTATTTGTAGTGCAAAAATATAGGAAAAAAACAATACAATAGTTGAATAACAATTCTAATCAACATTGTTAAATAAGATCAAGCATGATGTTTCAGAATGAAACATGAGAAGTATCAAAATGCTTTGTGAAACATTTGGCTTGTCCAACCAACATAAATTTATTAGTATTTCAATGGAAAGTATGGGCCTGCTTTTGGCTAATGAGATGGTCAATGTCAACGGTGCAAGTGTTCATCAGTTAGTCTGGATCTGGTTGGAGATTTCAGATGTTTCATTCAGGAAAAAGTCTGTTCGCAGGCATAGGTGCTGCCAAAGATGGTTGCCATTTTGAGTGCATGGTTCCTGAGATTAGGATACACTATATTGCCAAAAGTATTGGGACAGCTGCCTGTACACGCACATGAACTTTAATAGCATCCCAGTCTTAATCCATAGGGTTCAATATTGAGTTGGCCCAGGCTTTGCGGCTATAACAGCTTCAACTCTTCTGGAAAGGCTGTTTACAAGGTTTAGGAGCGTGTCTATGGGAATGCTTGACCATTCTTCCAGAACCACATTTGTGAGGTCAAGCACTGATGTCGGACGAGGAGGCCTGGCTCACAGTCTCTGCTCTAATTCATTCCAAAGGTGCTCTATCGGGTTGAGGTCAGGATTCTGTGCAGGCCGGTCAAGTTCCTCCACCCCAAACTCAGTCATCCATGTCTTTGTGCACTGGTTCGCAGTCATGTTGGAACAGGAAGGGGCCATCCCAAAACGGTTCCCGCAAAGTTGGGAGCATGAAATTGTCCAAAAAGTCTTGGTATGCTGATGCCTTAAGAGTTCTCTTCACTGGAACTAAGGGGCCAAGCACAACCCCTGAAAAGTCCACTGTTCTTTGAATATCCTGCACTCGGAGTAAATGTTTCTTTTTCTTGACATAATTGTTTCCTAAGGATTCAAAATTGCTATTAGTAAAATACCAATAAATAGAGTACTACAAAAATAATATACTAGCAGTAATAACTTTGCCCATACAGAGACATCCAGAGATATCCAATAATAGCAGTTTATTAACCTCCCTGGCGGTATGATTATTTCAGATTTTTGGTGCTGAAAGCGGTACCATTTTTTTGCATGGAAATATGTATTTTTTTTATTGTAGGCCTGTAATTTAGGAATAACTCCCTGAAATCTGTCCAAACAAGAGTCTAGTAAACATTCCGGATATGATAAAACTTGAAACACGAAATCATAAATTATAATTTAATAAATACTCATAAAAAATAATAATATAATAATAATAAATTTAATTCAATATAATCAAACCAAAAACACTGAAATTTGAAATATAGCGCCAAGTTCGCACATCACTGAGCAAAGTCGCAAAATCGTTTTCAGTGTCTGATGACGAATGTCCCCCATGAATCATTATCACTCAATTCTGCAAGTAGTTCTGATTTACTATCGCTGTTCTCTAGCTGGTCTAAAACCGATTTTGACCTAAAGGGACGCTTTTTGGACGCCGTGGACGCCGTAAGTTTCCAGGCAGAAAGCACAGTCAAAATGCAGTCAGGGCACAGGACAAAGCAGTAGGGACAAAATGTATGTGAAATGCTTTGATACAAGAATGTTTTGCTATGAAATAATCGTTTTAAAAAAAAGTCTTTTTTAAATTTTCAAATTTGCCGCCCCGACATTGTACGTCCCGACATCACAGGGACCGGAACACGGAAGCCAGATGCCGGCATCGGCCGGAAGAGATGGCCGGGGACGCATCGCGGGAGCGAAGGACAAGGTAAGCGCTGTAGGGAATCCCTGTGCAATGCCGCATGGGAAGCCCGAGTGTAGCTCGGGGTTACCGCTTTTGGTACTGAAACTTTACCCCGAGCTACACTCGGGAATACCGCCAGGGAGGTTAAAAGCAAACAGATGACATACCCTAGTGTAGTCCTAGGCCTATATTCACCACTCCAGCTCCAGCCAGAAAACTATAAAAAAAGCCACACTCCACGCACAACAGATAAGTAGGAAGGAGAAAGGAGTTCATTAGTTGTACATACACAGTTCTTCGGGTGCCGTGCCGACAACACAATCTCCAATTACGTCACCTTTGGCCGGGACTAGAAAGTATTTATTGGGCAATCGCTCCGCCTGACAGGGAAGTACTGTGCACCTTCTATATGTGTGCCGAGTGCAGGTACACATACTCGGCACACAGCTTAGCGGCTGACAGGAGAAGGCGGCCATTTATGTGCTTGTCGCCAGCCCAGCAAAACATATTCAGCATACAGACTGCACATTCGAGGCTTCAGCAGCGTCTCCCCTCCCCTGTATATTCTTGAATCCAGATCACGTGCCTGCTCTTCCTCGTTTCGCCTTTGAATGATGAGCGGACCAGGTAAATTACTCTGGTGGGTCTATTTGGCTGTGGTTTGAGGACCCCTGCTCTAATCTATCTTGAGCATTAAGAGCAAAGAGCATGCAGTCTATTAAACTTATTATGACAAAGTGGCAACATAGGCTTAATAAGAAAAATTAGAAAAAGAAAAACACAAGAGCAACCCACACATTGTATGAACCACACACTCAATGTTGACAAAGTTTTTCTTTTTTCACATACTGTATAGATGGAGCTGCCAGCAGTATGCCTCCCTTGACATCACTATAATGTTCCAAATACTGGGGCCAAATCTCTGAGAGCAGTAGCTAAATCTTAATGCATGCCAGAGAACGTTAACCAGAAAAACCCATATCACACATCCAACTGTCAATGGCCTATAAACAGAATGGTTGTTCATCCCAGTGTAGTATCTTTGTGTAAATGAGGACACCTCCATTTTCAGCTCTTTCGGTTGCTCCATAAACTGATGTCTTTCTTGCTATAGCTGACTATTCTCAGATTGTAACCAATGTAGAAGGTGCCAAGGATATGTCATGGAGGGGAATTATTTTCAATCCTTTTCAGAGGTTCTCAGCCCTAGTTGAGAGATTTTAGGGACAACAAGAGGGGAAATTGATTAGCAGTTTCCCCTGTGTTTCTTTAGTTTGTTATGGGTCCCTGGAGTCTGGAGACTTTAAGAGTTAATGGATGGGGTGAGTCTCCAACCTCACACCCCCGGGAGCCAAAGGATTAATGACCTCATCTGGGAGGAAAGGTGTGTTAAGGGCATAGCCCTCACCTAGCAGGGGGCTGTGTGTGGGAAGACACATGGCTGAAAAACAGTGTCTGCTCCTAAACTGCTGAGACATTTTGCTAGAGTTGCTATACACGGTGTGTGACCTTCGGAGAAAGGTGAAGACACAGCCCTGGAGTGACAGTTCGGTGGAGGGAGCTATTCTGTGGATGGTAGTAAGCCCTGAAGATTATTTTAGGTTAAAGACAACTTTTTTTGTCTGCTCCAGACTTGTGTTTGAGCCCCTGTAGAGGCTGAAGGAATATTACTGGTGGGACAGCTGTTTTTCTTTTTTGCTGCTTATATGGAAAAATTGAGACGGACTTTGATTTTACATGGCACCAGTCTGAGCGTAATCCCCCAGAATATCACAGCTGGTGGCTCGGATGCGGGCAATACACCCTACCAAATATTGCTGTGCTCTGAATGAACTGGACAGTTAAAGGAACAGTGCTGTTTGAAGTCCTGGGGTTAAGGCTGTAGAATCAGTGCAGCCCATAGACCACAAGATGGAGGAGCTGATCAAACGGTTCCTGCCAGAGTGAAATGCATGCAGCACGCTATAGCATTGCAGCAGCAAGCTAGTGCAGAGGCTCAAGCTCGACACAACAGGTAATATCACTACAACAGCAAGCCATGGCGGTGCAGCAGGAAACCAATATGGACCTGGCTGCAAAGCTTGAGGCACACAAGGAGGCAGTACAAGCACAGATAGATCCTTAGCCAAATAAGTAAAAAAGTGGCGGTTGTCCCTAGCAACCCAGAGACCTCATAGGCAAGCCACAGGCAATTCCTGCAGAATTTGACCCCTCATGATGTGGTGGCATTTCTGGTAACCTTTGAGAGGACCGCTGAATGAGAGGGGTGGCCCAAGAATCATTGGGCTGGCCTCATCACCCCTCTTCGTACTGGGGACCCCCAAAAGGCTTACTTTGATTTGCCAGCTGCAGAGGCCAATACTTGATGAGAAGTAAATGAGAAGCTGAAAGAGGAGATCCTTGCACACCTCGGGGTGACCACCACTGTGTTGGCACACAGGATGCATACCTGGAGGTTCCACATCGGCCAGTCACCCAGGGGGAAGATGCAGGAACTGATACAGCTGGCAAAGAAATGGCTGCAGCCAGAAAAATTAACTGCACCCCAGACTGTGGAGCAGGTTGTCCAGGACCTGTGCCTGAGAGCGCTCCCAGAGGAGTTACAACAGTGGGTCAGCCTCAGAGACACACAGTCCCCTGACCAGCTGGTGCAG